CCCTCTCCAGGTTTGAGAAAGACCTCAGGTTTTGAGTTAACAGTTTGTTGTATGGGGAGGGGTATTATTGATATTGTTTTCTGTGGGGATAAGCTTGCCCCAGGGAATATAAAAGCTAAATGACAACCTGCTACAGACAGCTATTTGGTTGCAGCAGCTATTTTATCTGATGTTTCATAGTGACAGTTTAATATTATCTTGTTCACTTTTGAGGGCCCCATATCAAAATGTTTGGCTCCTTTCTTTACAAAATGTGTCACTATAGCCAAAGTGAGGATAAGAGCATTGTGTAATTTTATGTATATGGCAGGCTGTGAGCAAAATGTAATTTTCCATGTAAAGTTTGAAATGTGTCTTATCACTGTCCTCCAGTGTATAAGTGCAACAGCAACACAAATGAGAGCAACATCATAAATTTGAAAATCCAAAAGACATTCTTAAACTTTTGATGGGAACAAGGTAACTATTACATTTTCCCTAAGTGCAAGTTCACTTGTTGAAATTGAATCCTATAAGAATCATTTATTATACCTTACAACAACACTGGCCCGGTGGCAGGTTTGCTTGGAAGCAACAACAATATAATCAGTTAAAGTAGAAGGCTAAAAGTCAACTTTGAATTCCATGCAGTACAGTCATTTAATATAAACATGAAATTTGAAGCTGTGCTGATTCTTTGGTAATGCTAATGGAGAAGGAAAGTAATATAACTTAAAAATATAAATTAGCAATATAGCTCAAAGCAAAAAAAAAAAAAAGACCAGTTTGCCTTACACCTGAATAATCTTAAAGCCTAGATTTAGGCAAATTTCAGGCTAAAAAAAGTGATGCATGTTTCCGCAGGGAACTCCAAGAATTACTTCCCCAGAAGAGAGCTTTCAAATTCTACTGCAGCATGGTCTTGTGTTCATGTAATGTGGACCAGCATGCTTACAGTAATGAAGGTCACCTCACCACATATTTGAAATGTGTATAACATCCCAAGGGCATGTAGACTGGTTTGGTACAGAGAAAGCATTCAGGTATTTAGCATATTTTTAGGTGTTTTTCATTCAATTCAGCAACTGGAAATTAGGAGGAGAGGCAATACCTTGTGCCCAGCCAGTAGTCTGAGGACTGACCATCATGTTCTGTAGAGAACCCATGTTCTGTAGCCTGCATTTAAAACTTAGTCATATTGAGGCATGTTTTAAAGGACAGCCAACAGTACATTTTCCAATGCTAAATCTGATGGATAGCTACAGAGGGGACTTCATTTTTTGTAGCTGACCATCAAGTACCTGCTACAAACAGTAAATTAATTGGCTTTAAAATGTAAACCATAGAAAAGGTGTATTTGTAAACTACTTTGTCTTCCATTTTAGTATACTACACCATGCACTGGTATATGAACTTTAAGAAAATGAACACCTTTTTGTGAAGCGTTCATCTCCGTTTATTTTGTATTTGTAGGGAGTAGTAAATATATGATACTGAAGAGAAATTAAACGGGGGAGGCAACCTAATGACAGACCTTGCAGAAAGACTTGAAGTGCTCAATGCCTTTTTCACCTTAGTCTTAATAGGCAGGGTCAGCTCCCTGACTACTGCACCTGGCAGCACAGTTTGCGGAGGAGGTGAGCAACCCACAGTGGTTGGCTGCAGCCCCCCAGCATGGAACAGATGCCCCCTCCGCGCCTCGGGGAAGAATCCCCATCTGGGGCTGGGCAGCCTCACACAGAGACCCCCACCCCCACCCCTCGGTGGTGGGGGGAGAAGGAGGGAGAAGAGCCCCCCCAGCACCAAACAGAACCCCCTTCCTGTGGCAGTGGGGGAGAGGGAGGAGGGGGAAAAGTTCCCCTCTGGGGCTGGGCAGCCCTGTGTGCCGGGATTGCTGTCAGGGAGCCTTTGCAGTGGGCAGAGCTCTCCCCTCCTCCCCTTCCTCCTCCCCCCCCCCCCGTACAGCAGACATTCCCTTTCCCCTCACCCTCCAAACCCTTCAGGCCAAGGTGGGGGTTTGAACCCCTCCTCATGCTTACTCAGGCCTGCTAGGGCCTGGCCATGCCTCCCCTTAGCTCAGCTTTCCTGCTGGGAGGAAAGGCTGCTCTAGCACCACTGGGCTTTGGACTTGAACCACTGCAGGCATGTGCTGCACATCTATCCACTTGCAAACCAGTTCACTCTGCGGTTTAAACTAACATGCAAAGATTGAATCAATGCAGGCTCAGGCTTTTTGAATGTCTGTCCCTTGCCATGAGGTTCAATAAGGACATATGTAAAGTCCTGCAATTAAGACAGAAGAATCCCATGCACTGGTACAGACTTGGGACTGACTGGCTAAGCAGCAGCTGTGCAGAAAAAAACCTGGGGGTTGCAGTGAACAATAAACTGAGCGTGCCCTTGCAAAGAAGGCTACCAGCCTATTGGGCTGCATTAGTAGGAGCACTGTCAGTAGATTGAGAGTAGTGATTATTCCCCTTATTCAGCACTGGTGAGGCCACATCTGGAGTACTGTGTCCAGTTTTGCCCCCCTTTTTGAGGGGTGCCTTGAGTCTAAAACGGTTGGGAACCACTGGACTAGGAATTAACAGTGAGAAAACTAGGTAAAGAGATTGGTTTTTGGAGAAGGGTTTTGAGGGAGAGCTTATATCCAGGAACGTAGTGTAGACAACACAAAGTCATAATGCCACAAGGAGGAAAAAAGCAAAAGAGAGAAGCATTGCAAGAAAAGTTGGCAGATGATAAGGTGCAAGCTAGAGAGCAGTAGTGTAACTAGGGTAGTGGAGTGAGCAGGGCTCCAGGTTCAAGTACTGACTTAGGGTGCTGGTATGACTCCCTCCTCCCAGGAGTCTTTGCCATGCCAGGCACAGCCCAGCCATAGGAGGCAGGCAGGCACAGCCTGATACCCAACAGTGTATCTGTGGGGAGGGACAGAATGATGCCCCTCAGGAGGCTTTGTCACAGGAGGCACAGCCTATGCTTCTGCGAGAGAAGAGAGAAAATTTGGGCTGACATGCAAGTAACAACAGAGGAGCACAGAGCCTTAAAAAGGAAGGCAAAGAGTTTCAATTTGATACTAATATGGAAAGCAAGCCATTCAAAATATTTAAGAGGCTGGATTTCTATGCTCAGAAGCAGAAGGTCATTCCAGCACAGATAAAATATGATGGAGGGATGGGGGTAAGGGACTCCAGAAAACAAAGTGTGTGGGAGATGGGTAGCAAGACTGATATTGTCCAGGTAAGAAGAGAGAAAAAGAAAGAATTCAAAACTGCCCCAAATTGTGAACGTGACTGTGGAAATAGCTAAGATTTTATTATTGATGAATAAATTTGAAAAAAAAGTTATGGTAGGGTGAAAGGCTCCTTCAAATTTGGTCTAAATTTTCAGTTTGTGGAAGTTTGAAGATATCCAGAACGAGATACCAAAAAGGCAGGAAGAGATGGGAGCCTGCGTAAATAGGAAGAGATCAGGACAGAGAGAGCAGGACAGGGGGGTGGGAGCATGCAAAGTTGCTCCAGGGGGAAAAACGGGGCTGGGCATTCAGTCTTGAAGACCATCATTAAATAATGACTGGAAGGCAAAAAGAGGGAAAAGATAGAGAAAGGAAGGGGTTAGTGGCTTGTTTATGGTTATTTTCAGTGTAAAGAGCAGCAAGCCAGACTGTGAGAGGGGAGAGAAAGAAAAGGAGATTAGGAAATAGAAGTGAGGGATAACTTAGGAGAGAAAGGAAGAAACATGCTAAAAAATTGAGGCTAGGGACAGATGTTACATTTGTGCCAGGAGAAAAGCCTTTCTTCTGGCATGAAAAAAGAACATGCAGCCATTCAAGGGACTTCTTGTGGAAGAGAACTGGCTCTTCTACAAGAAGCTAAATTGCATATTTACAAAGAAAATCTCCCCCCTCCTGATGTAACTTGAACAGCTGTATGCTTCTTTCTGGACAGAGACGCCCATTATCACACAGCCCTCTGGTTCTCTTCCCTCCCTCCAAAGGCCAGGTCGTCAGGGAGCCCTGTTGGGACACTTCCTAGGAAAATTTCCCTGCCACCAATCAGCTGATGAGGAGTGGGGGGAGAGGGCCATTCTTCTGCAGCGGGAGCCCTCTTTGGAGCCCCAGGAGCACTGCTGCTGGAGAGAATGCCTTCCCTTCTCCACCCCCTGCACTCCTCTTGTTTAAACTGGAAGAGCTGGGGGGATAGGGGATGGGCAGGAGGCAGTGCACTGTGGTGGCAAGGCTCCCAGAGCTGGTACATGAGGTGAAGAACTAAAGCTGGGGGCTTGGAGAAGTGAGGTGCGGTAAGCTTCCTGACACCACTTAAATGACGTCCTGTGCTGCCAGCTGAGCAGCACAGATGGCAATTTAAAAGCTGGTGGGGCCAGGAACCAGGTTTGGGGAGGCTCTCTCCACCCTGTTTCGCCATGCTTTTGCTGTAAAACTGCCTTTTGATAGTCTTACCCCTTCCTGGGCAGGCTGTTAATTAATGAGCCCCTTTAAGGGCAGGGTTGGCCTAGGGCCCAGCTTCTAGCGCCCTCTGGCTGGAGACCTCTCCCGCATAGCTCACAAGCCAGAATGCTAGAACGCACGCATGCTTCGGCTCCTGGGCTGTTCTTCTAGCAATGGGAATTTCACAGAAATTCTTATCTCTAGAAATGAACTCCTGTACATGGCCAAAGAGAAGGAAGATCAACGAGAGGGAGAAAAGAGAGAGAGAGAGAAACAGATTGCCTTAATAGTGGAGGAAATAAAAGATTTAGGGTGGACAGAAGCTGCAACATCCCAATAAATTCTTTTTATTTGACCACAGTAGTGCTTAGAGACCCCAGATGACATTCCTAGCCAATGTGTACCACAATGGTGAGAGACAGTCCCTGCACTCAGCAATTTGCAATTTAAGTAGGGAGGCAATAACTGGGGAAGGAAGGTATTGGAAAGAAAGCTTTTGACCATATTGACACATTTGGAAAAGATGCTATAAACCTCTCAGTAAGGGTGTGATGGAGACAGTTTGAAGGCTTACCTCTGGGGCAACTTCTCCATTTCTGCCCTGGTGTGGGACTTCATAAGCTTCTATTTGTTGCTTTGTGAGTCGTGCTAACCTTTCTGCCAGCTCTCTCCAGTATCTGCCAAGCTTGACAGCTGCGGTCAAAATGACGGTGTCCTGGGTTATACGTGCTACTAATCCTTGGCAATCTAACTTCAGAAGGGCCTGCAGCAACAAGTTTTTAAATGAATGTTTTTGGTCAGTATTTAAGAGCAACTAACTACTGTTTATTTGTAACTCTGTACTAGATCCCTTTACATACTAGATCTCTCCATAGCTTTAAGGAAGGCTATATGTGTTTTAGGATCAAATAAGTAACTGTTTTTATGCCTTTTGTACAATAATTGGCTGCCCACAAGCTTAAGCAAAAAAAAAAAAAAAAAAGCTTGGCATCCAGTTGCTTCAGCATTCCAGTGTTAGTTGGGGCCTGCCAAGTTGAGTATACTGAAGAGAAAAGATCCTTCTCCAACATAAATATTTGGGACATAACATTTAGATTCTTAAAATATGACATGAAACTTAAAAATTAAAGTATTGTTATAACAAGGTGCTGTCCCTATTCCACTTCTTTTCCAGAAAGTCACTGATTACATTGGTCACAGCATTTTCATTTAATCCTTTTGTATACTTAATTTGCTGACTGTCATTATTCAAGTATGTGAGGCTATGAGATGGGGGGGGGGGAAAAATGTGTTGTTGAAACAAAACAAATTTAAATAGTTCCCCTTGTAAAGTCCAGAAACAAATGCATGCAATATGCCTGCAATCTTATTGGGTTAGAGTAGAGCTGGTGGGAATGTGTGTGAATACCTGTTTATTGAGCTACCTGTATCCCTGTGGGAAAATATTGACTTTTCAAACAAATATCAAAAACCAGAAATTGAAAAGATTTTGATTTTAAGATGTTCTTGTTTTTGACAAAAATTTTGAAATGTTCTGCATCAAATCAGATCCTTCGTGTGTAAATTTTGTTGAATTAAAAAAAGTTTTCCATGTTATGGAAAATTGCCAAATTATGGCATTTTCTAAATTGGGCCCAGGTTAATCTCAAAGGTCCTCATTATCTGTCTGTTACTTAGGCCTCCAATTCTGTGGCAGTAATTTTTTCACTTCTTTAATCAAAGGATTTTTCTGCACCAGGGGTAGAAAAACAGGGCACTTCCCCCATTCCCATTAATATTATCCTTGTAAAGGCCTTCAACTGCCATATTTTGTTATATACCATGCTTCCAAATAAAACATATGCCTTGTTTTTTTGTAAGGCAGAATGGAAGGAAAAAAATATTTTTTTCCAGGTTTATAGCAGGGACAGAGCCTAATCTTCAGGTGACTTACCCTCCCTTCCCTGCTCAGTCAAAGGTACAGTTTTAACCTTTTCACAGCTGAATTGTTAGCTCCTGGTCACTCAGCCAAATGTTGAAACTGTAGCTGCTGCTGAAGACTGGACTCCACAGGAGAAACTAGGATTTTGAAAAGAGCTAAAAACAGTCTACAGGGCTGTGAAATAGAAGGGAGACCAGGCATAGCAAACAGATGGCAACATTGCTGAAGAAAGTATAGTTTGCTTAGTGGCACATCAAGGCAAAAGGAGAGATGGGCATTATTAACACCTGTAAAGGGAAGAATGATTAGCAGGAAT